CTATTGAAGGTGCGTGTCGTCTTTTATGCCTGTAAAATCCATTGTAAAATTTCAGGAGGAAGATCTATTTGAAAATAACTCGCTGCATTCTGGTTCCCATCTTCCAGCGGTGCCGTTATCTTTGTTATCAACTTGGACAGCTGAGCCCATTTGAACATTTATTAGCACAGAGTCGCCAGCAACATCAAAAGCGGCTTTTAGAGATGTTGGTACAAGCCGATGGTTAAGAGACGATATTGGACAGGAAAAGCATAAAAAAGTTGGCCTCCATTCTCAACTGAAATATGCTTCAATTGAATTTCAGCTGAATTTATTTAGCTGTTTTTATTGATTTATGGTTGTTTGGGTAACGGTGCTTTTGGATGGTCTTTACTTAACCCTCTGAGGTCTAAGCCGTCATTGGTGATGAGCCCTCTCCAACCCTAACCCTAATTCTAACCCAGGGCTAGATGAATCTTTTTGTATTGACCTGTTCTTCCAAGGCTTGTAAATCAGGGAAAGAATCATTCTCATCGAAAGCTATTCACATTTCTTTTTCCCCAAATCTCCAAAATAAAGGATAACGGTTACCACCTGTGATGACTTAGACTTCACCAGGTTTAGGTCTTCTATGGTTTTCCACCTGTCATAAGTTCATAAATTGAAGAGTTAACAAACTAAGAGCACGTGGGTGGGGTATTGTTAAATCTGACAATCTGATTGTCAGATTAAACTTGATTTTGAATCATCTTGTGTCTTCCAAACTGACGACATTGAAATGTCAGGTACATTTCATACGCACTCTTATTTTTAAATAGATACATTTAACACATGAAGGGATTTGTCTTTTTCAAGACACCAGGATGGATTGTGCACTTCTACTGATTGGAAAACTTTGCCTGTTTTGCTTATGGTGAAAAATAATTAGCCTGAATATTTTCTGTTGCAATATGTTGACTATGATGGCTGATGTGATTGAACAAACATATAGGACCATTTTTAATCATTACATTTTGCTTTTATTTTAATCATATAGGAGCCTCCCTGTTTGAGAATCACAGTTGGTACTTGTAAAGGGTTGAACGGCTCCATGAGGAGAGTCTCCTTCCTGTTGTGTTGAGCTAGAGCTGAGACTTCTACACTGATGGTGTCTGAGATTCTTATCAGTACAGCTAGTGAACGTAGTGAGGCAGAGACCTGTTGTGCAGTTGATGTCGAGTACTACAGGAAAAAAACGCAAGTGTACAAGACTCTGTTTTCCTGCTGCTCCCACCAGTTTATTGTAGAATCTCTGAGAATTACTCAACGTTTGCTTCCTTCTGTTGCTTTTTGAATTGGAAATGTGAATATGACGCCTTTCTATTTAGGTTCATTCAGTTTTTATGTTCATTAGAAATTGTTCAAAATAAAGATTTGATTCAAATTCTTCAATATACTGACAATCTGCAGGTTTAAATAAGCCAACTCTACTGACTTCTGTGAGTAGGAAATTAACACGCCCTGCCAAAGTGCCACACTTTAACAACATGACCAGCACTGCGAAGGAAACTGGCAAATCCTGGTGCTTCAACCCTACGTAGGGCTTCTCATAAATAAAATCATTGCTTACACTGTGGACCCCCAGTGCTCCATTTTTCTTCTTCTACAAACATAAAAGATTAGGATCGCATCTGACACGTTAATATGATTTGCTATAGAAGAAAGCATTTTTCTTCCAGCTTCTTGTGACTCCCTCAAGGGCACTTGGATGAGTCCAGACCCCTAGGGTGGCACGTGCTGGCTGTAATACACCCACAGACAGCTACATAAACAGACCTGGCGTGATGTTTCCAGATTGTGACTGTTTAATTCTAAATGAGGGAGAAGCTGATCGACACACATAAGCTGCCTTCATTGTTCTGCAGTTTCCTAAAAACATTTTCTTGTATTTTCTTCATATTCTTTCTGGCCTAAAAGCCGTTTCAGTGTGAGCCCAATTTCCCATCAGGACCACCTGACAGCTCTGGCGTGATGGAGTGGTGGCAGGGGGAGGGTTACATGTGTAGACACCCCGAGCTTGTTGTTGAGCCCTGAGCAGCTCCACTCCCACAGTGGGGGGTTAAGTACCTTGCTCCAGGGCCCTTCCACGGTAGCTGCTGAGGGACAGCAGTGTGTGTCACTTTCCCCACTCAGACTCTCCCTGCTGGAATACGCATTCAAAACAGCAGCGTGGTTGCCAAGTTATTGTGCTCCCTCTGTAATACACAGTTAGACTGGAAAGGCTGACTGTTATATAGACCTTACTTCCTACAGTCCTCCTGAATGTTTCCACCAAGTGACAAGAAATATGCAGCATGAAGTGAGACACTTGATAATCTTTTAATAAAAGCTGATATTTTAAAAATGCTGTTGATCCAGAAGAATAAAATCATATATATATTTATATAGATATGACATGCATACATGACGGCATGTATGAAGCATTCTGCCTGCATTGTTTCTGATCGTGCACATGACTCTGCATCAGATTGCTGAATTGGTAAGTGGAGCAATTATTTTAAAAAATTCCAGGCTTGATGATAAATGGCTGATTGAAAGGCAAAATTAATTACTTTGAATTTTAAAAAAATTGTAATATGAATTGCAGTTGAAGCTGTGACCTCAACAGGAAGCTGCCCACCAGTACAACCAGAGCCTGACAAAGTGTTCTGAAAGGTTCAAATTGCCCCTCCATTACTTTCCACACGCCCAGTTTCTGCACAAATGAGTGCGAGAATAAATTCCAAATCACGCTGAGAGACTGAATTATGTTTAACTTCTTGCAGATTCCAGCCTCTCTATCATCTTTTTGAAAACCCCAGCATCTTTTTAGGCCTCCATAGTGTTAAAAGCCTTAAAAAGCACTTCTCCCCATGTGGCTCTTTGTTCTTGTGTCCTCTACTGCATAGAAAATGACTTCACAGAGGCATGCAGGAGGAGCAGAATCCACAAGAATGACTTTCATTATAGATGAGAGTACCACTGATACTGATTAATAGTATCATACAGATTTTAGAGTTTTATAAAGGGGCAGCGTGGTGGTGCAGTGATCGGCGCCTGTCGCCTCCCATACAATTATACTGCACTGCACACCCATGCCTTTTAATGCATAAATACTTTGTGACAGTATCCAATAGAGCAACAGGAGACTTCAGTTCCAGTGTCTTGGACTACAGCTGGTGACAGTAGACCTTGTGCTCTTTGGGAACCCAGCAAGATCTGCTTTATGTGGCCTTCCAAGTCACAGCACATCTCCAGACACCAGGGGGAATCGGACACATTCGAGGACTGTCACGACAACCAGACCAGCCCGCCTATGTGGAAACACTGTACTGTAAAGCCTGGAGCAGCAACTGGATTTTCAAAATAAGCAACCGGACCATCCAGAAGTAAGTCATGGATGGATGGTCAAAGTAAAAATAAGCCTCAAAATATAAATGTGTGGGATTCAGTGCAGGAAGGTTCTGGTGGAGGTTGTAAATTGTAATTTCGCTTGTTAACCCTGTGATGGGTGACCTGTCCATGATTTCCACCTTTTCTCGCCCTATGATCAGCAGAGATCTAATTAATAACATCATCTTAAATGTTTTTCTTTATTGGTGAACTATAACATTTTCCCAACATGTCCTGAAATGAATCTACTTTATGCAGCTATTCAAGTTAGAAAGCATCACCTCAATGCACTTTTCTAGTCTCGACCTAACATTTAAGCCTTTGGAAGCTCCCACACAGACGGTACGTGCAAACTCCAAACAGAACGGTCCCAGGAAGGGACGAACCCAGAACCTTCCTGTTGTGAGACAGCAGTATTAACCGCTTCACCACTGTGCCACTCGTGTGCTGCACTTTAACAGGATGGCAGGAGGTAGAGCAGGTCATCTATTATTCATGAAGGTTGGCGGTTCGATCCTTGGCTGCTCCGGTCTATGTGCCAAATTCTCCTCAGGCAAGATACTTTCTCTTGATGCATATGCATTCATCAGAGTGTGTGTGTGTGTGTGTGAGTGAAAGAAAGCACTTAGATGTAGAACAAAGTGCTTTGAGTGCTACATAAGAAACAGTCCATTTAATGTCTTGCCATAGATATCAGGTCCTGATATATAAACAGCGAGCAGATACCAGCTGACTTATGTGCTGATTTTCACTGAGGATCATTTTCAGTGAGACTGGATGGATCCAGAAGAATGTTTACTGCTTTTAAAATTACAGTCAAGTGTTCGTCCTGACTGTCAACTAATGAGTTCAGCTCTGAATCAACAACAACAACAAAAAAAGGACCAAGTGTGCCAAACAACACGAGGCTGATACAGACCTCTCAATGCTGTCAACAGTACTGGATTTAAAGATGGGGATGATCTACTTTAAGCGTTTACAGTAACAACCACTTTGCAGTGATGCTCAGTCAACACACGGCCAAACACTGACTGAGCGTCATCACTCCATCGCTATGCCTCCATGGATGTGACGCTGCGCCTTTACACCTGCGCTGCACCAGGTGAGCTGAACTGAAATGTCACCAGGACACGTGATTCTTTAGGGACTGAAATGGAGCAAACACTAAACTGCCCAAACTTGTGGGGACGCAGTTCATTCACGTTTACGCCGATCCCTCCATGCTCAGCGCTCCGCCACATTCCCCGTCTCACGTTTACGCCGAACGTTTTATTTTTATTTATTATTATTTTTATTTCACAACGAAACAGTAAAAAGCCGGCGTTGCACTGGCTGCCTATAGTGTGTGCGTGTGTGTGTGTGTGCATGCCTCCCGGTTCATCTCCAGCAACAAGGGCAGCTTTACGGTGACAAAGAAAGACGGTGTGCGCGATTTCTCCGAGACTCAGTTTGGCTGCATCTCCAGACAAAAATACAAGAATCTTTATTTATACCCCAGAAAGCATGTCCGGCCATCCCTCCACAATAAACACACATATGCATGCATTTTATAAACACACACACACACACACACACACATAAGAATCTAAAGCTGCGCGCACAGGACTTACCATGGTTGTTCAAGCTCCCAGTCTCTGAAAAAGTCGAATTCAAAGAGATCCATTGCCGCTTGGGCTGGTGCTGTTGGTGGTTAAAATCCAAAGGTGGTGCTACGCGGTTCTACATAGGCTACTGACACTGAGTGTGTGTGTGTGTGTCAGAGAGAGAGAGCGAGGGAGAGTAGACACAAGCTGCTGCCGCTGCCAGGAAGCTGCTACGTGGTCGAGGCAAGCTGACAGCCAGGCAGAGGTGGAGGGAGGGAGCGCTCTCTCACACACACAGACACACACACTCATGCTGTGGGAGACAAGTCACTGCAAAAATGTTCTTCATAACAAGCAGAGCTATTTATATTGCACATTTGACCAAAATAAATGTGTGAATCAGTCACTTGACAGCAGCTGGAAAATGGTTTAAATGCCGCCCTTAAAAAAAGTGCCGTGTAATTGTGCAAGGTGTTGACATGTGAGGTTTTTAATCTTCATCAGGCAGGAAGCCACACATATGACACCACACCTCTGATCTGATCACAAGGTGCCCCATACCTCTAAACTTGACAGTCACCCCGTGTACACAACACAAAAGATTTCTTTTTGTGTGTTTTCACACTCCTTGAAACAGAAAATTACATTAGACTTTCTTCTGTTAAGAGCCTTTGTGCACACAGCAATGCATAAATACACTGTGCACCATAAAATGCTACAACCAGGATTTTCAGAGACACAAAGGTTGTTAGCTAAGATCTGAACCTGTTCATGCATTTAACTTTAATTCAATTCCTTTTTGTGTAGATCTCAGCACCCTAATGTCTAATAGGCCGGTATAACTTGAGGTTAATTCAAACTAGGCTTTCAAAATGGACCTAGCATGATTTGTGCTTTTATGATGAGTGAAAAATCCTTGTAAGCTGATTCCCAAATCCCCCAAATATACCGAGGGCTTAACCCATGACCTCTTTTTCAAAGACTCAAGACACACACACACACACACACACACACACACACACACACACACACACACACACACACACGTGTGTGTGTGTGTGTGTACAGGCAAATAAACTTACAAAGAAGCAAACACTCTTTATTGGTAAGCATTAGAACAATATATCAGCTGATAATGGCAGATCTGCTTCAGCTCCCAGCAGCACATGTAGCAGAGCAGCATCACAGCTGTGCACACGGTGAAGCTACAACCATAGATTTCGAAGTATGTAAATAAATATAAAATATATCAGCCGATGCTGTAGAAATCCAGTGTATTTCTACAGCAGCCTACAGCTGACAGACAGCACTGGCGTGGCTGGCTGGCACTGTCTTTGTGATAAATGATTTGTACCAATGAGCTGGAGACACAAATCCCTCAGGAGGGGCATCTGGTGTGTAATCATGCTAAAAACAAACGTGTGAAGCTACATGCTGTGATGACCCGTTTGTGGATAAGGGAGCAGGGAACGAAACTTTTTTGGACGTCTTCACCTGAATGCATATTTGTAGCCAGCAGAGTCTGAATCCTGTGGAGTCTTGTTATGCTAAGCTCCTGAGTTTGTGATTTCTATAAAAACCTGTTTGCTTTTTGAGCAAACTGGGATTATTTGAAAGAGTCATTTTAAGTGTTTTTTGGATTTTTGTGTGCTGCATGATTAAAGTGTCTGATTTGGAGGCTTTCTCGCTGAAACCTTGTTACTTTGTGACGAACGATAAAGCCGCTGAAAACCTGAACTTCAAAAGGCAAAACTTTCACTGGCGGTGCAAACAAGTTTACCGCCGGGTGGATGGAAATTGCCATTTGCTTGATGATGATCAGCACATTGGCTGCTCAGGCAGCTGTGGTTATTCTGTTTCTGTACTTTACCTGAACGGAGGATTGGATGTCATGGTGGTCTTTGAACCCCTCACAAAGCAGCCGTGTGCCTTCTTTTAACCACCACACCTTTGTTTCGGATGAGCCGAGCTAGCAGCTTAGCATCCTCGCGCTCTTTTTCTGCAACACATGCCCGGCGGCACGTTTTACTGTTTACGCCTCGCTATGAATAACGATTGACCAGATGGTTGAAACTTCTCACTCAGCATGTGCCGTAGCTGTAACTGAGGCTCCATTGTGACGTCACTGTCCTCTCCTTTAAAAGAAATAAAGAAATAAAAAAGAAGCTTGAAGAGGGGGAAGTCCAAGTGGATCGGGAATAAGATTTGAAGAGATTCTGCAGGCTGTGCGTTGGCGTGTCACTTTGTGTATGTGTGTGAATATTTCGGTGTGGTCTGGGGCAACATGCCAACACTAGTCTGCATCACACTGGAAAAACAATAGCAGAGAAGAGAAAAGATGGAAACCATGGAGGATGATGGGAAGACGAGATTGCTGTCCTCTAGCAACAGTGCAAATGAAAACAGTTTCATGACCTTGATCAAATCCAGACATTTCAACCTCAAAAAACTCTGCACATTTCCAGACCTTAAAAACATCACATCAAAATTCAAACATTTCTCAAGGATTTAAAGCACCTGAAGGACCACCGGTTTGTGCGTGTGAGAGAAACGCCGCCCAAAACTAGGTCAGACAGAGAGACAGGGAACGACAGGGAACGACAGGGAACGACAGGGGCGACGGAGAGGAGAAGGATAAAAAAGACAGAGGACAGTTTAAGAAAAAAAAGAAGCAATTGTGGGGTGAGCTAATGAAGAATCAGATGATAAAGAGATGGATGAACGTGAAGGGAAAATGTAATTAAGGCCAAATCTGTCTTTCCTTTCCTGCTCATGCCATGCTACGCAGCCTTCGCAGAGGAGTGTCTCTTTGTTTGTTTAGAGATTTTTAATTGTTTTTGTTTGTGTCATTTGTGATGTTGTTTGAAGCCACAGTCAGTGCCAGTAATTTATATTTAAATGATGGCACGGGAGTTAGTCTTTCACACACACACACACACACACACACACACACACACACACACACACTGAGCTGGAAGAGAAATACAAACTGATAAAATAGTCAGGAAGAACCAAGTTCTGTGCTTTGAGCTCATTATACTTGCTGTGTATCTTGCAGAAGTTGAGAAGTGCATGTCATGAATTTTCAATATGAGCCCAGGCTCTTTTTTTTTTTTTAATCCTTTTCCCATGCGCCTCTCTCTCTTGCTCTCTGGTAGCAGGGAGGCAACACAGTGCTACAGCTCCCCCATGTGGCTCAAAGTAAGAATTGCAGAAGGAGGAAGCCGATAAAACACTGTTCATTCTCTCATAGCTCACACACAAGCTTTAAAGGCTTTGGAAAAAAACTAATTTTTAGAGACGATACAAATCAATATCATAATCAAGAGGTAGCTTTTCTCAATCAAGGAACCAGCTGGATCTAGCCTGCTGTGCACAGGTGGACAAATTAGATGAGAAAACAACTGGAGGTTTGAGCAGCTGACAAGTAACCTGCAGGTTGCTGAGATGATTGATTTGCACAAGAAAGTGCACCTTTTAAGGTGTCAGGACATAATAAAACAAGTCGCCTGGCCCATTTAAATGAGGTAAGTACATCTTCAGAACAGCGGAGGAGGAAACCCATCAGCAGTGATCTTAAAGAAACAATTGTCACTGCCCAACAATCTGGGAAAGGTTATAAGGTCGTTTCCAGACAGTCTGAAGTCCATCAATCTTTTGTGAGAAAGATAATTCAGAAGTGGAAAATATTCACAACCACCAATCTTCACAGGAGTGGATGTTCCAGGAAATTCACCCCAATGTCAGGATGTGCAAAAAACACTTTCTCTCTGAAAAGAAAACAGCAGCAAAACTTACTTGGAAAGCTGCATCGCAACAAACCACAGGACTGCTGGAATTTCCAAAGTGGAAATGTCTGACCATAATGGACAGCACCGAACCACACCCAAACGCCTCATGTCTACAAACCAAAGCATGGAGGTGGACGGGTCATAACTCAGGCTTGTTTTGCAGCCTCAGGCACCAGTGACCTACTTTTAAGACAATAGTATTATATTTTGTATATATTCATTCTGTGTGTGAAAAGTGTTTTTGTTATTTGCCCCACTGAAACCCATTTTAATCTACTTTAGATCAGTTTGAGTACAATTATTTTAATTGTTTATTTTTGTGGACGTAATACATGTATGGATTTGTTTCATTGTTTATTTTATTAAATAATAAATACGTTTATCTTAATTTCCAAAAAGCAAACAAATATGTATGTATTTAAATACTTATAATTCAATTTGGCAAAGTTAATGAAATAACAATGCAAATTCCTTTTAACGTCTAGTAGTTCAGTATGTCGGTATTTACCTGAAGCTCAATGAACTGATTCAACAAAGTCAACAAACACAGACTCGATTCAAAGTTTCAGAACAAAAGGTAACATCGTGTCCAGATGCTTTTTAATAAATACTGCTGTGATTATTACTTTTACAGTGCGAGTGAAGTTAACATTCACTGAAACTAAAAGCAATCTCATCACTAATTTACATGTAAATATAATCTTTTTATAATCTTTTCAAATCTAAGGACACATCCAATAAGGAGTCTTTTCTAATGTTTGGCTGCTCTTCAGTGCAGTTCAGTTCTTTTATAAACAGGAATATTAGAAAAGTTCTAAAGCCTGAGAAGAAACAAGCAGTAACTCTCACACAGTCGACGCTCTAGGGATAAGTAAAACATAATCACCTTGTTAATAAGCAGTTATAAATGCTTAATCTGATTTTCTTTTATTTGCTTTCAGTGGATTTTCATGAGAAAGCTTCAGAGGACTATGGTGAGTGCTGATTGTAAGTATTTAGTCGTTTAGGACACTTATTCTAATTTCCACTTGAATTGTGTCTAAATGATTTTCGAGAGTTTGTCGTTGTCCAATTTTAGAGGCAGCAGCAGAGTAGAGCGGTTTGGCCTTGACTCTTGATTCACTTTCGTAACAACCTCTTTTCATTCAGGCTGCATTTAAGTGGTCATTTCACCGAAGGCCTCAAAATGCTGATGATGTCTATACTCAACCTAATGCAATTTATGTTTAATATAGTACCAATTCACAACAACAGTCACCAACAGCTAAAGGTGCATTACGTTTTAAGGTAACGGCCCCACACTATTAGAGAGAAAACCCCAATAATCAGATGATCCCTATGGGCAGCACTTGACCACAGTGGGAAGGAAGGACGCACTTCTAACAGGAAGAAGCCTGTTGGAGACGTAGGCTGAGTAGGGGACAGAGAATGCTTTGAAGCATTCAGGT